CACAAACCAAGAGTTTAACTCCATTTGCATGCTAAAGACGACCAAGAGCAACTATCATTCCCAAAGTACAGATGGTACATTGAATTCCATGACAGTAAATAAGAGAGAATACGCATAATCAACCAGCATAACTTCAACCTAGTGGGAAAGCTCAAAAATTCACAATCAGAGTGTTGTCTTACATTTTTCAGACATGTTTAATTTTTCTCAACCAACACGGATCACAAAATAGAACAAAATTCAATGTTGCCATTTAGAATTGAATTGAAATTCATTCAAGTTTGCAGCTACAAGAAAAAAACTAATGATAATGCATTTGTAATGAAACGAAAATGTAATAGAAGAGTATAGCTTTCGCCTTAATTCAACCAAAATAGCTACATTTAGTAAATCATGACAGGGCGAAGACTGAAAAAAAAAAATTCAAACTTTGGTTTTTTGTTTCTGTTACTATTTTCATCAGAAACAAACAGAGGCAATGAATTAAATCAATCACGAGTTTCACAAAGAAAATATAGTTCTAAAATACGTTTGTTTAAATTGCTAACAAACAAATACAATTTTACAAACATTTTAAATACAATCAAAATTCAAAAAACATAGTTAGATCTACAAATCTAATGCCAAAACAATATGACCTATTTTACCACCAACTAGACAACAAGCCCTAGAAGCAACAGTATGGCTCGAAAATACTACACTAATCAATGTCAAAAGCCCAATGCCTGAACATATTCATGAATTATTTCATTACTAAAGTCAACTGAAATATATAAAAAAATAAAATAAAATAAAATTTTCGCAAGCATCATTTCAAATGTAAAAATACCAAATCTGTAAGAGCCAAAGAAAGACTGGAATTAGAATTCTAAGAGAACCCTAGGCAGAGAAAAGAGGGTAAAAATCAGAGAGAAGAGGATTTTACAAGAATTCTGAGAGAACCCTAGACAAAGAAAAGAGGGTAAAAATCAAAGAGAAGAGGATTTTACAAGAGGGACAATTTCAAAAATAATCACTGAAGAAAATAGGATAAAAATAAGAAAGAATGGGGTTTTAGGAGAGGGAGGGTTTCATAAATAATCAATTGAGAGGCATACCTTCAGATTTTCTTATTGTTCTTCAAATTCTTTTTTCTTTCTTTGTTGGATTAGGGTTTTAGATAGAGTGAAATTACCCACAGCCACTCCAATCACACCACCAACTGCTTTGGTTGCAGACGAGATGGAGAGAGGAGAAGAGAGAGCACAACACAGAGAGAGGAGATAGCGATAGCAGCAGAGAGAGAGTCGAGAAGGAGAATTGTTGCAGGAGTGACAGAGAAATGAGAAGTTGATGTTAACCGGGTGGTCCGTTCTTCCATTTTCTACTGTTAAACAAGTTCTTCCATTTTCTACTGTTAAACAAGTTCTTCCATTTTCTACTGTTAAACAAGTTCTTCCATTTTCTACTGTTAAACAAGTTCTTCCATTTTCTACTGTTAAACAAGTTCTTCCATTTTCTACTGTTAAACAAGTTCTTCCATTTTCTACTGTTAAACAAGTTCTTCCATTTTCTACTGTTAAACAAATCAATGGACAAGATGAAATTTTTTAAATCCAATGGCTCCTAATTAAGGTGCACATGATGTGCAACTTTAAGTGCTTGCACATTGTAAACGGACCCTAAATTTGAACATCCAAGTTTTAGCTATGAATGTCAGCCACATAATGACTGGCTAATAAGTTGGTTTTGTAACAAAAATGAAGGGCATGCAACTAAAAATCATACCTCCGATCAATACCCACACCGTCTTGGTTTTAAAGATTTATCCATAGAAGAGGACCCCTGGGCCCTCGTCACTACCTCAAGAACCCAAACAGCAAATAGTTTGGCTGCATTATTTCCTTCACCACCCTCAATTGTACCTTCATTTCTCTTTGCCCAATGTTTTTTCATCCGGCACCTCATTTGGAAACCCACAAGTTTGGTAGAGCCTCGTCAACATACGGATCCATAACGATCATGTCTACATTAACTGCTTCTTGAACAACACGCAGCAGTTCCACACACAAATTTGTTACTTTCCATATCCTTCTTGTCAAACAATGCACACACACATATTACATCAAGCAGGAACAAGCACCAAACGTCATCATATTTTTCTTTTAAGTAAACTGCAAAATTATCATTATGAATCCACTAAATCCAAGCGAATGATTATATAACATCAAACAAGATCCAAAGCCAAAAGTGAAATAGAAAATCAAGATCCAAAGCCAAAAGTGAAGCATAGACCATATCATGGAATCATCAAGTAAAGCTTGGATCAAAAATGAATATTCATGTAATCAAAGTAGTTTAAACAAACTTCAGACAAGCATATACAAGAAAAATCAGAAAAGAATTTAATATATATATATATATATATGAAGTGACCTGAAGAAACATGAGGATACATTTAAGACCATAAATTTTCTCAATTGACACAGGCGTCAATTACAGACTCGCAGCTTGGAGGTAAAAGGAAAATGAATAATGAATCAAATAAACAGAAGAAGAAGAGGAAAATAAATCATGCAAAAGAAAGTTACAAATTTTTTTGGTGAAAGTTAATGAATATTTGTGGTGATAGTTACGAATTATTATGGTATCGTTATAAACAGCACATCGTAAGTAGTACTTTAGCCCCAAAATCTATAACCTTACTTTGGTTTGGCCCATTCAAAATGTAAATAATGACAAGTGTATTTTAAATAAAATTTTCATGAGCGAAACACCAAAAGGTGCTTTAATTTTACAAAAATCACACCTTTGCAGCATAAAGAAAAGAGCAAGCTACATGTATGTGCTTTAATTTTACAAGAATCACACCATTGCAGCAATTCCAGCGAGGGCAGGGTTATTGTCAGTTTGAGAAACTACTTCCAAGCCACTACGAAAAGGTGCAGCTTGAAAAACTACAGTATGATTAAAATACTAAAACAGGACCAGGAAAAACAGAAGCTTAAGTTATATTTCACTTTCACACACTAAATAACCTATATAACAACTACCTACAATAGCTAACATACCAAAGCATGCAATTCTGACTAAAAGGACAAATGTTCTAAGTTACTGTGAGTCTGTACTACTTCAATCATAGAAGCTGCAAAAGGGAAGCTATATTTAGGCTTTTCAACGGGTTCTTCCCCTTTCTCTTTCTCTTTCTCTTTTTTCTTTCCCTGTCTTCAATGGGTTAGGTTTTCTCTCTGTCTCCTGGGTTAGGGTTTCTCTCTGTTTTCAACGTGTCCATAACGTGTCCAAGAGTGTCCAAAAGAGTGTCTGGCTGCAAAAATTCAAAAAAAAGGGGGGACACATTAGGTAGAGTGTCGGCCACGTGTCCGACTCGTGTCCGTGTCCGTTTCCGACACGTGTCCGACACCCATACGTTGCCTCCGAAGAGGTGTCCGTGCTTCATAAATCTCGAGCAACCAAGACTGCTTCCTCATCTTTCCTCAATATATTCGATTCTTCCCCTCCACTTTCATATTCTAAATCACTCTTTCTTCCTTTCGCAGCTTCTAGTGAATCCACTACCACTTGAAGCCTCGCTTCAGCCAAAGAAAGGGCCATTGTTGCTTTCTGAACAGCTTCTTGATCAACAGTTTCTTCATTCACAATCTCTTGAATGGTATTGCGCGTAGAATTAACATTATCCCAAGCATTTGCTGCTTTGTCCTTCAATGCTATTGCAGCTTCCGATATTCTCTGAGCCTTCTCCTCAAACATGGTACTGTTTGTTGGAAAATATGGTTTTTTGGTTTGAGGATTGAATGAAAAATTGTTTCATTAAGTTGGTCTCATAAATGAGAGATTGAGAATGATGATTGTGCATTTAACATGTGGTATGGATGTGTGGATGAATGGCCTAATGCTGGAAACCATATGGTATACATGGTGTGGCCTAATGTTGGAAACCATGTGGCACGCATGGCCTAACCATGACGGACACATGGTTTTGGAAGCCATGAGGTACACATGGCCTTGCCATATGTCTTGCCAAAGATGCCTATATAAGGACATGCTCAACATTGTGAAAATGATCACAAAATAAGCTAAGTTCTCTCCTCCTCCCCATTGTGTATAAAAGGAGACCATCCTCTTTGGTTGAAGTACAAAAATTTTTGCTCCCATATTATAGTCAGTCTACTCCTATAATATATTCTTCCTGTGTGAGA